AAAGGTTTGTATTAGCTGACAATTTCAGACGTTTTAATATTTGGTTGCTTGGCTCTGTTGCTGTAGGCCTGTGGCAGCACAGTGCAGTGTGTCAGGAACATATGATGGAACAGCTGAGAAGCAAAGATAAAGACAGGAAAGGGCCAGGCTCCCAGTTTCTCTTTCAAGAGGATGTCCCCAGTAACCTAACTTTCTTCCACTAGACCCCAATTCCTAACGATTCTACCACCTCCCACTGATGCCACAGACTGGAAACCAAGCCTTCAACACACGGGCCTTTGGGTGACATTCAAGATCCAAACTGTAACAGCTGAGTAGTAAGTGACACTAAGAAATAATCACTGAAATGCTGCAGGTGTACTAATATCATTTTCTTATGTTTTCCTAATGAAGCATTTGGCAGAGGAATGTCATGATGATCTACGTGGAAATACGTAATCAAAAAGTAAGTGAGAGTAACAAAATTAAGCTAATGAAAAAATCCAGGGCATGAATTTATTTTTCTCTTGTACCACCAGCTCCCGGCGCAATGTCTAGCAGGTTTTTTTGATGGTTGAATTAAACGTGAACAAAGGTAAAAAGGTAGGAATAACTACCGTGCGTTTCTGGTGTGGTGAGGAAGTGGGTTTCATTGGAGAGAATGGAAAACTAAAGTTATAAGTCCAAGTTTCAGAGGGAATGCCCCAAGTAAGAGGGGGCTTAGGCTCATTGGGGAAGGCAGAGACAGGGAAAGGCCGAGGGCCAACAGCTGAGTCTATACAGTGACACCGAGGACCTGGGCCCGCCGTGCTCGAGGGCCACCAGCTGGGTGGCTGTGATTAGCTAGGTGCCCAGAGTCAGGACATTTTCTAACCTTCTCTAAGACGCAGGTTTGGGCAGCTGATCGTGTTTGGGCGGCTTGGAGAGAAAGAGCAGAATTAGGAGACAGTTTCCAGGTGCCCAGGTGCCCAGGAGGAGGAACCTGCTGTGGTACAACCAGGACAGCCCAGAGTACATTCGAGGGCCAGTGGGCCGGTGTGGTCTGTTTGCGCTTCTACACCAACATGCACAAACTGGGTGGCTGTTATGGCTTGGATGTGAGGTGTCTCCCAAAAGCTCATGAATGAGACAGGACAAGAAGGTTTGGCGTGAAGGGATTGGGTTGTGAGAGCCTTGACCCCTCATGGATCCAGTGAGTGGCAGCTGAGGGTGGGCAGGGTGTGGCTGGAGGAGGAGGGTGTGGGGAGAACGTGCCTTCGGTGGAAGGGGGAACTCCTGACTCTTCATCCCTTTATACAGACACAATCCCGCTCACGATGTCCCCTCCCTCATGACCTGGTCACCTTCCAAAGGCCCTGCCTCCTGACGCCATCACATCCTGTTGGGGGTTTGAACACGTGGATCTGGGGAGGACCCAAGCCTTTGGACGCCAACAACGGAGGAGAGAAGATGGAGATGGAGATGAAGACGAGAGTCACAGGCCGGGGTGGGGACAGGGACACAGCCTGTTGCGGATTGACGTTTTCTGAAGAGACAGTTCCAGAAGACGACGATGGTGCGCAGCCTGACCACAGGGACCCAGAGAAGGAGAGCTGGGGAGGGGGCAGGAGTTTGGCAACCAGGGTGGAGGGACTGGCTGGTGGCCAGAGGGCAAAGGGGTCGGGTCCTGTTCATTTGGACAAGGCTGAGGAGGAAAGGCGCTGGGGGAGGAGGCACCAGCCCCGGCTAAGCCGGTGAACTGTGGGAGCAGGACAGCTGATAAGACGGCCAGAGAGGTGCACGCGAGCTCCCATGCCAGTTCATCGCTCTGGTGGCCAAGTCTCTGTGGCTACTGTTCCTGTGGTTAGGGGATTCCCCATCCCCTCTGCCACCACGAATGGTCCCCGCTGAAGACCAGCCAGCCTGCTTTACAGCACCCTGCTGTGGGGGGGGTGTGTCTGGTGTCCACACACGACTGAGCTCAAGGTGACGTTTGTGGTGGTGACTGCTGCAAGTGGTTTATTTTCAAAATGTCTTTCCCTTTGACACAGGCCTCTACAAACAGGAAACATGGCCTGCCTCGAGGGCGGTCCTTGTTACCGTGAATTATGCCAGGTGAGAAAAGCCAGTCACAAAGGACAATAGCCTATGTTTCCACTTATAAGGGCCTGTCTCGGTTAGTGTGGACTCTGTGACTAAAACGCCACCGTCTGGGTGGCTTAAATAATAGAAATTCACTTCTCATAGTTCCAGAAGGTGGGAAGTCCAAGATCAATGTGGACAGTGCCTGGTAAGGACTCTTCTGGTTACGTTCCCCCGTAGTGTGGGGTGGGGGAGAGAAGGAGAGAGAGAAAGAGATCCCCCCGGTCTTTTACAAGGACACTAGTCCCCTCTTGAGAGCTCCACTTCATGACCTAATCACTCCCAAGGACACTGACTCCAAATCCCACTGCACTGGGGAGTGGGGCATCAATGTGAGTCAGAGATGCACAAACAGTAAGTCACAACAGGTCCCTGGCATGGTCAAATCCACAGGGACAAAAGTAGGGTGGCAGTGGCCAGGGACAGGGGAGGTTTAACAGGTACCAAGTTTCAATTTGGGAAAGGATGGCTTTCTGGAGATGGTCAGCGGTCACGGTGTGCACTAATGTGAGGGTACCTGCTGCTGCTCAGCTGGATTCCCGAGTAGTTGGGATGATAAGTCTCATATTATGTGTAATCCCTCAGTCAAGAAGAGGGTCTCAGTCCCAGAGGCTCGGGAGGCTGAGGCAGGAGGATTGTGAGTTAGTTCAAAGCCAGCCTCAGCAAAAGCGAAGGCCCTAAGCAACTCAGTGAGACGCTGTCTCTAAATAAAATACAAAATAGGGCTGGGGGTGTGGCTCAGTGGTTGAGTGCCCCTGAGTTCAACCCCTGAACACCCCCCACCCAAAGAAAAATGGTTTCTGTCAAAATGGACTGCATCAAAATATTTAAACTCTTTCAAACCACCCAGAGCATAAAGCTGTCGTCACTAGCAGACAGCATAGCTTTCTACAAACTCAAGGTCCTGTCCTCCCCAGCTGACAGCAAGGACGGCCCTTGCCCATGCACAGGGCCCCCTGCCTGATGCAGTCACAGACAGGCTCTGGGAGGAGAGGGCTGATTCGGGAAAGTTCTGGGCTTTCCCTCAGGAGTGTCTGGAACGAAGCTATTAGACACAGTGTGTAGAGCAGGAGTGTGTGAGCGAGCAAGTGTGTGAGCGAGCGAGTGTGTGAGTGACGAGTGTGTGTGCATACATGTTCACAGGGGGACAGGGACACAGACATACCCTAGTTGGCATGGAAATGTTAACATTGTTGTTTTTTTTTTTTTTCCCCTCAATGTTGGGGTAAAGTGTTTTATTGTATGAATCTTTTACTAAGAGCCTATTAACCTTGAAAAATATATCTCAAAAAATTGAATAATACAATATTTCAGACATAGATAAAATATAGAAGAAAATGACAACATCTATGTATCCCTTAAACATGTTGCCATATTTGATCCAGATGCTTCAAAAAACAAACAAACAAACAAACAAAAACAAACCCAGAATTAAAACGTTACAGAGAGAATTGGAAACCTGCCCTATCCCATTGTCTCCCCACCCCAAGGGAATTAGAGACTGTCTCAGAATTTCAACACTTCTTCCCTTGACAGATGGAACCTGATTCTCTCCTCTTGAATCTGGCCAGCCTTAGTCATGTTCCCGCCCAAGGCCACGCAGCTGGCGAGGGGCTAAGATGCAGATCCCAGCTAACTGGCCTGGAGACCAGGTGACCCCCTTCTGGGGACTTCCATCTTCTGGCCTGGGCCCCAGGACAAAATGCAACAGTGACCTATTCAGGGTTTAAGCATTCTTGTGGGAGGTATTTTTGTCTAACCCATCATTTCTTTTTCTAGAAAAAAATAGAAATTAAGTTCAGATTAGACACCAAGACTGAGGCACCGGAGACCTACACAGGGGTCATAATTCCTAGAGGAGCAAGTCTCTGTGGGTTCAAAGCTCTCCTCCATCCTAGGGTTTGCCTCTGTGACCCTCTAGTCAAGTTGGAACTGATCTAAGAAACTGAGACTTCTGAAGAAAACTGTTTTAAGAAAGATTTCTTTGGAGGTTAATTTGTTTGGCTTTCCTATAAGCTTGGTGACTTCATTTACTTTTCGAGACAGATACAACGTGATTGTACTGTGGGAAATAGCCAAGGAACCCGAGGTTTCTGACTGGATAGGCAGAGGGCAGGTTTCCTTCTGTGGACTCCCTGTTCCTGGGTTTTGTTTCTTATTCTCATTTCCTTGGCTGACTTTGTTATCTTGATTGAGTAGCTGGACAGATCAGATTGTCCACAAAGTGCCAAGTTACCCAGGAGAAAAGCAAAGAATGTTAACTCACGTTTATCCTCCCTGAGACCATGAAGATTATATACCAGTTTGCATTTCCCCAGGAATTACATCATATATCTTAGAGGTAGAGAGAAGACCTCTCCCAAATCTAAATAGAGACAATGGAAAAAGCAAGCTGCAATTTGAAGAAACTCACTGAGATTATTAGAACCCCAGACAAATGAAACTTGATCAAGGAATCTGTCTTAACAGAATATTGTGGCTGTGTGCGGTGGCGCATACCTGCAAACTCAGCAGCTTGGGAGGCTGAGGGGAGGTAGGAGGATTGAGAGTTCAAAGCCAGCCTCAGCAAAAGTGAGGTGCTAAGCAACTTAGTGAGACCCTGTCTCTAAATAAAATAGAAAATAAGGCTGGGGCTGTGGCTCAGTGGTCAAGGGCCCCTGAGTTCAATCCCTGGTACCCTCCCCCACCAAAAAAAAAAAAATTCTTGATTTTGCGGCAGATTAACACTACAAACTTGTTACAGAAGATTACAAACACAATTTGACTCCCATTCATTGTGTGTGCATGGTCCCACTGCTGCTTACCCTGACATCTGCTAGAGTAAATAAGAAGAAAAAAAGGCCGGAGTTCCCAGTGGACCCCCAGCCTCTGCCTGGCCTCCTTTCCCAGTTTCGACTCACGTTTGTTGGCTTTCAGCTTCTTCTCGTCTACAGGAATGAGGTCCAGGTAGTCCAGGTAGTATTCATAGCTGTAGTACGGGGAGGATGTGTTTGTCCCGTTGGCCATGATTGTGGCACTGGCGAGGCAGCGTCCTTCCAGTGGCTCACATCCAGAATGGGGCTCTGGGCCTCTGGAAGGAGATTGCTTAACTGATTTCTGTAGGAATCATCCAAGTGTGTCTGTGGGTCTCCAGGCACAAGGCCTGCCCACTTATCAGAGCCGCTGTGCTGGATGAAAGGTCAGGGGGGTGTGCCTGACATGTTCAGCCTACAAGCAGGGCCTCCCATCCTGCCCCCACTTGATGCAGCTCCAAAGCAAGCAGAGCAGAACAGCCAGAGATCAGATTTCCAGTGCAGCTCTAGATGGCCCCACAGCAGAAGGAGGGGAGCTGGGCAGAAGACAGACGCTGGGGCCTCTCGAAAGAGAAGACGCCCAAAGGGCTGGAGAGGACAATCACTTTTTGCCTTCAGTAATTGAAAAGTTAATAAAGCCATTAGCGGAAGCCTGACAGTGCCCTTGACGGCATGGAGAGCTCTTGGTGCTATTAAGCAATCAGCAAGTCCCTGGCTTGGATTCGGTGTCTGAGAGCAGGAGTTGAGAGATGCCAGCCCTGAACTGTTCCTTGCACACGTATAACCAGTCCCTTAAAACCAAAATAGCAGAGTGTAGCTCTCTGCTTTTCCTAAACCCCCAGGAACCAACCAGCCGGCTGCATTTGTCCCAAGTAAAGAGGCTGTTTATATGGACAAAAACCTCCCAGGATTCAGCTCTTGGCCAACACACTGGGAAGAGTTCTGAGTTTCTGGAGAGCTGCCCTCTAAAGTGATTCCTTCGCTCTTCAAAGACCCTTAGACGGTACTAAGAGGAACACTCTGTGTTGGAATGAGAAGGCCGAAATGTGAGAGGAGCCCCAGAACTTTGTTTTTGGGAATTAGGACGTCAGAGTACAGTTTTAGGGGACCTTTCTTGTGATCTCCCCGCTTGCCGGGGTTATGGATTCAGGTCTACACTGCCAGAGTTAAGCCGGGCATTGAGAGTGTGGACCGTCCACCCAGTTAACCACAGCTCTGCTGGTCTGATCAGGCTGCTCTGTCCAAGGCACCCCTCAGCTGACGGGGAGGGGAGGGGTGAGCTCTTGGCTTCCCAGAGCCAACAGGGGAAAAATCCCTTGAAAAAGTCAAAGAAGACTCCCGTTTCCTCCGCTCTGTGCACTTCTGATGTCTGGGTTGGTTTTCTGGGGTGAGTTCCTTTCACGCCAAGTAATTCCCAAGTTTCAGTTCAGTTCAGTTTTGATGCAGGTTGATAGATGCATCTGACTTACAAGCCCAGAGATGTCAGAGACACCCCCACCTCCAGGATAGAGGCCCAGTCCCATGAAACACCAGTCAAAGTCCCAGATAGTCACTGTTCTTCTGAACCCCCAGATACACATCAGCAATCCCCACAGCCCCCTCCTCCGCTGTGATTCTGTCATCACGCCTTGTCTGGCTCAGATAACTTTGGAAAACGGGTTACTTACAAGATTACCTGTGTATCCAAAAAGAATACTAGATACTAAGGAACAGCTAAATGGAAGAGATTTTCCGTCGTTCTTTCTCCCTGTCTTCCACCTTACAAGAAAGTCACTGTGAAAGAATCAGTCCACTGGGGGTGCTTTCTGTTCCCTCCAACCCCACCCTGTGTATAAAGCCAGGACCGCTCAGCTCATCAGAACTCTTGCTGTACCGAATGAGTGTTGCCTAATTCTAGAGCGACAAATAAAGCCAATGAAGGTCTTTACACGAAATTTGTTGGAATTGTCTTTGGGCAGGATTTGGGAATCCATGACAGGGTGGATGCCGAACATGAGGATGTTTGAGAAAAGTGAACGACTGGTTAACACCTGGTTGGAAGATGTAGCTGACTTGCAAGCCACAGTTTCTGTCGGTCATCTTTCTGTCCCTGTTAGTCAGCTTTCCATTGCTGTCACCAACAGACCTGACACACGTGACTCAAAGGAGGGAAGACTGTTGGGCTCAGTCCAGGGTCAGCTGCTCCACTGCTTTGGACTTGGGTGAGGCAGGACATCATGGCAGAAGGGAGTGGTGCAGCACAGGTGCTCAGCACATGGCAGCTGGAAGGAGAGAGAGAGGAGTGGGGGGAGGGAGAGAGGAGAGAGGAAAGAGGGTCCCAGGACAAGATGCAGTCTCAAGGGCGTGCCCCCAGAGACCTACTTCCTTCAACCACGCCCCACCTGCCTGTGGTTCCCACCTCCTCTCAGCGGTCCTTTCACGTTGCCAATCCATCAGATGGATTAACCACAGGTGAGGATAGAACCCTCAGGATCCAGTCACTTCCCCAAAGACCGCCTCTGTACATTGCTGTATTGGGACCAGGCTTCAACACATGAGCACATGAGCTCTTGACGAACATTCCAAACCCAAAGCATGACAGTACTGTAACAACTACCTGATACAATCAACTTACATAGAGAAAAGGTTTATTTTAGAGGTGTCAGTCCATGGTTGGTTAAGACCTGTGCCACCACATCATGGTGGGAGCAGATAGCTGAGCAAAGCTGCTGTCCTTAGGGCCAGGAGGTGAAAGAGAGGAAGAGGAAGTGGTCAGGGCTCTATGATCCCCTTTAGGACACTCCCCACCTCAATGACAGGCTCCATCATCTCTTAAAGGTTTCCCCACCCTCAACAACACCATACTGAGGACCACGCCTTTAACACATGAGCCTCTGGGGGAAACTTAACACCCAAATTAAAGCACTCTGAACGGTGTTTTACAAAGAGGGTTCCAACCTTTCACCACTTACACACCCCCCTCATCCTGACTTTCCATATCCTCAGAAAACAATGAAGAGTATTTCTGCACCTCTTGCCCATGGGTTGGACTTGGACTTGTGTTGGCTTTGACTCATACAAATATTATGAAGTTGTGTTGGCTGGGGATACAGCTCGGCGGTAGAGCACTTGCCCAACATGCACGAGATCCTCAGTTTGAATCACAGAACAGGGGGAGAGAGGAGGAAGAAGTCATGTAAGTTCTAGGCCAAGGTCTTAAAAGGTCTTCCACACTCTCCATCTCCTGCCCGGTTACTATGTGCGTAAGCAGGAGCTGGCCTTCTGGATGATCGGGACAGCTGTGCGGTCAGCGGCCAGGAGCAGAGCTGCCTAGCTAACATGCAACTGAGCACAGAGCCATGAGTAGCCCAGTCCCAACCCAGAGACACCCAGCTGAGCCCAACTGCATTGCTAATCCACAGAACTGTGAGATTTAGAGCTAAATGGGGGTGATTTCTCACTCAGTAAGAGGTAACCAATAAAACATGAAAATTTCTGTTGCTTTACATCTTTATCAAATTTATTATTTTTAGTCTTTTTAACTTTATCTACTTTGGTAAGTTCCTATGATGTTTTTTTAACTCACTTCTGTAACCCTTAAGTTTTCTGTTTTTTAAAGTGTTTGAAGACAAAGATCGTGCTCTGCCTGGTAGCTGTGATATCAGAATCTGCTGATAGTATCCATCAAATTAAAAACTTTCCATGAGATTTAAAAACAAAATCCTTAGTTGTAAAAACCATAAGGCTGCAAAGAATGCTATGTCAACCATCCCAAGTTATTTATATATAAAATCACAAAATTAGAATCCAATCAAGCCGTGTGCCATGTTGTGAAATAGTATACATTCCAAAAACCAGCCTGCAGATAACAACTGCAAAATGTGGACAAGCTATGATATGGGGACACTGAGGAATGACACCAAGACTAAGGGAAACTGAAGGGAGGGCCACACTGAGCCTGGGAACTGCACCGGGTGAGCTTTGTGTCTGTGGAGCGTTTCCCTGAGTGCATTCCTCGGGCTTGGCTTGAGGAGTCAGGGGACCTGTGGGGGAGCAGCAGAGTAGGGGGAAAGTGGAGGGGCAGGGCATACTGCAGGAAAAGGAGCCATAGAAAGGCAAACCCCAAAGTCTGCTTGCTGAACTTCACTTGGGGGCTGGGAAAGTGGCCCGGTGGGAGAGAACTCGCCTAGCGTAGGCAAGGCCCCAGGTTTCCTCCCCAACACAGAAAAATAAATGTTCATTTCCTTGACTGAGGTCCAACACCAAAATGAAAGTGATCACAGCAGCCAAATCTGGAACAACTGGGTTCAATAAATGAATAAGAACATCCTAATAACTATTTATAATAAGATAAAAATGAAAAAATAGGAATATATATTATTGTTATACACACACACTTTTTTTTTTTTTACAACTGATGAGATTACATTGACCAATCATTATTATTCAAACACTATAATTTACATTAGGGTTCACTCTTAGAGTAGCTTATTCTGTGGGTTTAGACAAAAGTATGATAATATGTATCCACCATTATATATAGTGAGAAAAGTCTGACAGCCCTAAAATTCCCCATGGTCCACCCAAGTGCTCTAAGTATTTCATTTTGTGGGATGCTAACAGAAATGGCAATCTATCTTTAATTTCAAATTCTACTTATTCATTGCCAGTAAGTAGGAAATTGACTGACTTTCATATTATTCCTATATCTGTAACCTTGCTAAAATTGTCTATTGGTTCTAGAAATGTTTTTGTTAATTGGTTTAGATTTATTTCTTCCCTCTTGTTCAGTTTACCTTTGATTTCCTTTTCTTGTCTTACTGCATTGGCTATGACCTCCAGTACACTGTAGAAAAGAAGTGATGAGAGGGGACATCTTTGTCTTCTTCATGATCTTTGAAGGAAAACTTGGTTTTATTCTTTCATTGAATCGGCATCTATTTGTTATTGAAGAAATGGGTTATTTTTCCTGAAGAGTTTGACAATTGATATCACAGTAGTGTTAGTACTGTTTTCCCATCCCTGTATTTCCTGAAAAATGAAGTCAGACTAAAAGTGAACCCTTGTTTGATCAAGAAGAGTCTAATTGGTGTGGTGTCCATTCCTTGGAAGACACAAGATGTCTGGTTGTTTTCTTTTTTAAAATTGTGTCTTAAAAAGTAATGATCATTGCTGAGATCATTTAATTCATTGGTTGTAAAGATGGTAATCTTATTCTATCATTTCTTCTTTATTTATTAGCTGCAATCTTTGTAAAAAAACAAACACTTCCTCATGAACTATTTTGTTATCCAAGGTCTGTCGGGAGAGGTGAATGAATCATTGCTTTGAACTGGCACCTGGACAGAGGTGACACTGCTCCTGGGTATTTCTCTGGGAAGCCACTGATTGAAAACTGCCCAGTAGATGGTGACCTCTGTTAAACCGGAGAATTCTGTGCTTGCCATAGAATTCTTTAGCTCATAGCTTTGAATTCAAATGCCAGCTC